GCTAGGTCAGTGACGTGCTTTCTACAACGTACACACGACTAATGTATTAAATCCATCTCGTCTCATTTCAGTGGCCAAACTAACACATGAACACAGAATATAGAAGCCACGAGTGCTTGAAGTTCTGTATTCTAATGGTACCAACTGTCTTGTTTGCAAAGGTAGCTGTGTGCGTTTAAGGAAAAGGTTAGTTAATGTAGTGGTCAAGCTATTCTTCCAATTTTGTGTATGACCATGCAGCCAACTTTCCGGCACTTTGCAGCGGTAAAGGCCTATGTGACAACGGAATATTTTCACCAAAACTGTGACAAGACGGACAAAACAGAGCGATAAGCCATCGAACTATAAAAACTGAGGTGGTGAAAAGATTGCTTCTGTTCTGAATCGATTGGTTTTATGTGGCAACTTCCGAACAGCTTGCGCAATCCCGAAAAAAAGCAGTCGGTTAACAAGCGCACCATCCTTTTTGGAATGGCTATCGCTTGCGGCCAGAGCAATAGACACATGTGGAGCACATTAAAATGAATTGCCGAACGCGATGTAGTAGTATGCTCCAAGTCTAACCCGTTAGAGGATGCATCAGCTTTTACTAAACTCAAACACAATTTTCGGACACGACCGTTTCCACAAAGTAATATATTGTGCACTTCAGTCTTTGTCGCGCGTTTGCAACTTTCTGTTGATGAAATATTGCCGTATAAATAAATAAGGTCCGCACTCCATAAAAGGGCAAATCAGGAACTCGGGCATACTGACGTGCTAGGTTGATATATTTGTCTAATGTAAAAATCCATTAAAGGCAGGAGAGTAGTCCCCTTTTTCTGTGTGCTGACCGGAAGCTGATTGATGAAACCAAATGCCGTCTTTAATTCTATTAAAACCTCGCTTGAAAGACAAGAGTAAAGCTTGCCTTGTCGATAGAGCAACATGAAAATCTTATTCTACTGCTAGCACGACTGGAATTTTTCGCCTCTGAGTAGAATGACAATGCAGCTTCGGGGAAGATGAAAATTTCAATTATTCTATGAGCATATGGATCTCAATACCCCCAATACTGCAGTTAGCTTGCTTTCTCAAGAGTTTGGTCATAGAGAAATGCTGTACATGGCGGCAACCTAATTAGCAGCGCTACCCTCGATTGCGATAGAAATCCATTCTTGGCATCTATGATCACAATATTGTTTGAAAAGTGTGGCGTTTTTTTTGATAGAGGAAAATGCTGTACATGGCGGAAACCTAATTAGCACCGCTACCCTCGACTGCGATAGAAATCCATTCTTGTCCTCTACGATCACAATATTGTTTGAAAAGTGTGGCGTTTTGGGACAACAGGCAAGTTACGTGAAATTCTCAAGAATTCCTGCACAAACACTGAAAGCAAAAGGTAATGGGAAGATTTAAAAGCTTTTTATATGTCGCATTCTCATTTCATCATCTAACAGAGTCCAGTTCCGATTGCCATTATTGATTTCATCTCCCATTCTACAGTCACATGTTTCGTGACACTAACTAAATACGTTCATATTGTTTAAGGGTCCTGCATTTACCTTCAAGTCATTCAGTTGTAGCACCCTATCAGTGCTCAGCTGCTGTTTCCACCGGAAGAAGCACGAGGGCTGCAATATTGCCAGATTGCCCGAGTTTAGACACGCAAATTCAAGAAGCAGAGATCGGGATCGAACCAGAGAACTTCCGGCCAGTAAAATCGCGCTATAACCCCTGAGCCGTCTCACTACATTACCCTGAAGTTGCCCTCTTACCAAAATTTTGCTAATAAGACTAGGAACAGCAAGAAGAATTACCACATTGAGCCCTGTTTGTCATGTTCAAACATATTCGCCCAGCGTGCAAATGTGTGACCGGGGTTACGGCACTGAAGGCCAAAGATCTTGAAGGTGGATGCCAGCTATTATATTTGCTTTATTCTTATGTGTGCCTAAATCTCCCTAATCCAAAACAATCCTGGTTACGTCATCTTATTTGCTTAAACTTTTTTGCAGAGCGACTTGCACCAGATTGGGCCGTCAACAATTTAGCGTCGTCACCCCAGGTTCTCAGCATGTAAGACTAATCCGATCATTTCGAAGTTCGGGGGCCAGAATGTACGATTATATTAATAAGTGTCATACAGACTCAATATCCTTAAGTACGAAATCAATGGGCTCATACTCTCTAACCAAGGGCTTACACTACATACACTGTCATTACAAAAAAGCTGTTGAATACGATGCATTGACACATCTCGGGTTGCATAAGTGGTCTTTCTCAGGAAAAGCCCCTTAGCAAGCGAAACTTCTAAAGAAAAAACCATTCTCGTTGCTTAAGATTTATCTGCAACCCACAGTTAATCGTCCATTGGTAAACTACTCCTTCCCTCTATGGTTATGGTAAATAACCTCTCAGGGGTAGTGCGGAGTTGTTGGCCTGTACTTTCTAAAGTTGAGAAGAAATCATTCTATCCCATCCAAATTCCAAGTAGCATTTGTTGTCCCCTGGGAGAATACAGAATCATATCAAGCAATTGAGTTACAGTCACCCTTTGAATCAGTATCCGGATTAGCGACTTTGGCGAGTAATTATATAAACAGACGGTCATGCCAAAGTAGCCGTGCCGTAACTTAAACATACAAGTACGGGTGTAAACTTCACTGTCATACTGGGTTTATAAGTTAAGCATGGAGTCGAAAGCTGTCTGTCGGACCCGTGGAAACATCTAAAATTTAGTGTATGACCACTTATCCTAAGCACATTAATTTTTTTCATTAACAGTTGATTAACACCTGATGGGACGGAAGAACTGAGCTAAGTTCCGCTCTGATATAAATAACTTAGTGCCTGAAACATCTGAAAAAGTTTGAAACTAAAACATTAACAAGGAATTACAATTGACGGCGCAATTTATGGCTACTGTAGAGTTCCACAGCAACGTGCACTGACATTCAGGGCGGTATTCTACATACAGTTTTCATTAATTCAATTCAGAAAATTTTTCTGCGAACCAAGGATTCTCCCCTAAGGATTGAGTCTACACTAAATTTCCATATTGTGGAAATCTAAACACAAAAATTGTAGTTAAAATTCTCGATCGCAGGAATGCGCAGTAANAGATTTTGAAAAATAATGCGGAAATGATTAGCTTGACGCTGTCTACTGTGAGGTATCTTTCACGAAAGGATGGAATAGTCACTATTAATTTAGCATATGTTTTCCAGGGCTGGCCTCTGTCCTGGATTAGGGTTTTGAAATACTAAAAACAAACCAGATAAAATTGTCTGGGTGGAGAATATGAAATGGTTGGGAAACTTTTACGTGTCGTCAGCAGAGTCTAACCAGGTTGATGTTTATGTGAACTTGCTTCCCCTTGGCCGGAGTGCTACAATATATCAGCAAATTGAAGTACGCATCAGTCTGCCTTTTCTTCTCTTCTAACCACTTCTTGCTATTAAGGAACACCTTCAAGGCAGTGTACTGCGTCCCGACTCGTTCTAAATTAGTGTATTTTTGTGCGCATTTAAGTTCATTGGAGTGTTATTAGTACTGTAGTCCGTGGTTTGCTTACCCAATGGGCTCCACGTTCCGCAAGAATTTACTACCTCAAAATGTCTATGAGCAAACTGAAACCATTTGATTCACCCCTCTGTGTTCATCTGACTATGATGAAAACCTCCACTTAATTGCAGGTTTCAAAACGTTTGAGAGCTTTACACAAAAAGTGAATTCTTTCGCCCCCACATTGCTTTCGATATTAAATACGCATCAGAAACTCTGATTTCCAGAATCATATGGTAGTGGTTACTCTGAATACATCCTGGGTTGCCTGTGACTCTATTCATTTATGTTGGATGATCTGACGTTTCGTCTAGCTTTCTATCGACAATATGGGAACACAAAGCACCCACAAGCTAGCTGAGCAGTCGAGATTGCGAGCTTCCTTACCTTGAGTTACCATTGACCAGCCTTTGGGTACGACTAACAAATTCAAGCTTCAGTTTGAAAACAGTTTAACAGCGTCACCTTTGACGGTTTGAGATGGAAACAGGAGAATATTCCTGTTCCAGCTATTTTGCTCTGTCAAAGGTAGTCTACAAAGAACGTTTTGGCAAAAATTGCTTGTACAGCTTGCACTTTGTCCCTCCTTCAGAGTGTTGAAAACTTTGGAGCAGACAGCTAGGTCACCAAGGTGATTGCATGGAGCTTACGTGTTGCTGATGCAATCCACAAATTACGATGAGGTCTTGGGGCCATTTACCGCGCCGATTCTAGGCGCTGTAGTAGGGCGCGGCTAACCGAGGTGAACGACAACCGTGCTTCAAGCTGCTTTGCCATTTGTCTAATTAAGTGCTTGAAGGTACATTTTCCCCACGACGTTTGTACCAGATTGACGCCACATCACTTTGTCCTTCATGTACATCTTTCACTTTTGGGTTTCAAATTTAAACTTCAAATAAAATTTGTGGGTATACGACAGTAAAGTCTACTTTTTCCACAGTGTTGTGGTTGTCGATGTTCATTTTACCTGTAGTAATTCTGACATGACTGCAGTCCGTTGGGTATATATAAGTGGCTTCTTAGTTACGATTGACTGATCGGGTGACGATTTAGCGATGGGGACAACAAGAATTATTTCCTCTTCTCCGCACATTCAACTGGTTGTCTGCCAGCTACCTGACCAGCGTGTGTACCCCGAAACCCCATCATGACAATTATTTGCGAGTCCTGATGTTGACCTGTTCGCCTATAGAGAAGTATATCGAGGAGCTTTCTCAAAAACAGCTCAAAATATGGGTGAATTACAATAGCAACCAAGTAATAATTTACTAACACGGCGCGCCTAGATAGACGCTTTGGATAAGTGAAGACCACGGGGCCGGAGCCAAAGCTCAGTTCCAGTCTCCGGTGTTTGTTTGGGTCTGACAATTTCCTCACCAAACCACCAACTCAGTAATGTGCCAAATGACATGAATTGTACTTAGAATCCATTGGGGTATCAGGAGACTTACACGTCACATCGTACACAACGATAGATACAGCGGAATCCCTTATGTAATTTGGAATCAAGCTTCTGAAGCTAAAAAACGATAAGCGGATTCGAGATTTTGTGTGATTTACCGCTCCTGACCGGCTGTATCCCACAATTGCAGACGGACCTGTAAAGTGAAACAAGTCATTGCCCCACTGAACCTACTGATTTTTGATCCAAACATAAAGTCTTAGACAAAAAATCAATGCCAATCGTCGCCTGAAAGATCATTAGTTTGAGTAAACACTAACTTGATATGTCTGGTCGAACACGTCATGCATGAACCGCAGAATAATGCATGTCTTCCCAACTATCAATAATAACGTTACGAAAAACTTAATACCGTTCTGCTCTCCTAGGAACACGCATTTCGACTTCTGAATATGGTTATCATAGGGGCAGTTCGACATAGCGCGGAATCACGTGAGCACATTGAAGAGCGCGCCTTTTTCATCCTTTCTCACGGATCCACGGATTGATACATATCGTTGAGACATTTGCACAAGATCCTTGGAACGACGTTGTTCTTGTCGTTCAGCGGCTGTTGCTCACCTCAAAGGCACAAATGGGAAAAGGATGTAGCACTGCTCATTAAGTGCTCAGCGCGGTTCAGTATGCTTGCCAGCGCCAGAAGACGCATAGATACATTTCACAGATTGATACACAAGGATCGAGGTTTTGCCCAAATATCCCGGGTCGCTTTTGTCCTTGCCGGTCAGTGACTGTCGTTCACCTGAAAGGCACAAGTGAAAAAGGGTTTTGCACTACTCTTTATGTTCTTAGCGCGGG